GTCGCCGAAGGCGACCAGGACGCCGAGAAGCCGAGGCTTGAATAAACAATTACTATTTAGATCGGAGCTGTCCACAAAAAAAATATTATTTAGATTGGTTAGGTTAGAGTTAGTATATGAATATTTGGTCGCCGAAGGCGACCAGGACGCCGAGAAGCCGAGGCTTGAATAAACAATTTCTATTTAGATCGGAGCTGTCCACAAAAACAAATATTATTTAGATTGGTTAGGTTAGAGTTAGTATATGAATATTTGGTCGCCGAATTTTCAATTATTTTTAATATTAAAATCGAATACAAAAATCGATTTTCACTTTAAAAAAATCGATTATTTTTCACATCCCTATTAATTTTATAAACTTAATCGGCCATTTTGAATGTGGTTTATGCTAGACTAGCGGTAATTAGTTTTACAGTGCAAAGTTTACTTTATAAATCCGTTTCTTTTTATTTTCACGTGAAAGTGCGTTATTTTATTTGCATTTTTTGAAACTTGGCTTTACATACATAATCAACACTGATTTCTCGCGATCATTTTCAGATTTATAGTGATGGCGTCTACAAGTTCTACTCGTGAAAATGATTTTGAGGACGATGGGTCCGTTGTGAATCGTGACTTGAATAGTGAGGAAGTGGTCTCATTGTGGAATCTGATTAGATTATATAAAAAATTAGGTACCAATGAGCAGTGTGTGGCATTCGCTGAAGAAAATGGTTTAGTGCATTCTCAAAAGCAATGTAGTACACATCGTAAACCCATGAAAATTGCTAAATCGACGAATAAAACATTTGGTTCATGGTGTTGCACGAAAGGAAATTGCAGATCAAAAACTAAAGTTCCTAGAAATAAAGGAACATTTTTCGAAAATATTAAAATAGAATTAGTTCATGTTTTCTATTTATTATATGCGTTTTCGCAAAATTGGAGCTATCTTACAACCATGCGTGAAGATCCATATAAAGATGATAGACTTAAATCCTTAAGCCGAGTTACTATATGTGATTGGTATAGTTATTGTAGGGAAACTATAGTTATATATCAAATGGATAAAACTCAAGCGGTAGGAAAGATTGGTGGCCCAGGGAAGATAGTCCAGATTGATGAATCTAAATTTGGGAAAAGAAAATATAATCGAGGTAATTATTTTATAGCACTATTAATTAATATTTACTATATGTGTTATTAGTCTGTTTTACTCCTAGAGTGTAATTTAAAAACCAGAGCTGTCCAATAACCCTATTATTATCACATCTACAAAATTTATTTAACTCATTAAGCTTATTAACTAATTCTTTAATTGTTGTAGGACGACATATTGAGGGCTATTGGGTCCTTGGTATGATCGAAGACAAATCTGAAGACCTAAGATTGGAAGTGTGCCCAAATAATATTCGATCAGCTGATATATTACTTCCTCTCATTCAAAAACATGTTGAAGTTGGTACTATCATTCATACTGACTTCTGGAAAGCATACGATTGTCTGGCAGACCATGGGTACATACATCAAAAAGTGAATCATTCAGACCCTGAAAACCCGTTTGTGGCTGAAGATGGAACCCATACGCAAAGGATTGAGTCACAGTGGAGGGCAGTAAAAAGATTTTTTAAAAAGGATAATTATAATAACTCTGAAAATTTTTCAGATCATGTCTATGAATATTTGTGGCGGCGAAACAATACAAAACATAAAAAGACCCATTTTTGGAGCTAATTAAAGCTGTCAAATATGTCTATAAATTAAACACTGACTGACCGATTTTTGAAGTTATACTTCTTTAGGCGCGTTATGAAAAATTGATGAGAGTGAAATTTTACGATGCGCGCGCACCTATGACACAAAATTGGGAGTGTGATTATAGCGTGCGCACTGCGCAATCTACAAGTAAAAAGAAATAGAATATGCGTGAAGCTAACTTCACGCATATTCTATTTCTTAGCTTAGCAGCTTAACAAGAATTTTGAATGACCATGACATCTGACAATGACATTTGAAACAAATATAGGAGTATTAATTAGTTTTAAAGATTATATACCTAGTTATTTTTATTATACAAGTGCGAATTTTATATTTGCGTCTGAATTATAATCAGAAGTGATTTAAATTGAATATCTAAATCAATACTAATTCATATGATAAAATATTTGTGAAAAAACTGTGCCGAACTTCCTGAGTGCTTCAATACAATTGAGGTTAACTATCCGTATGTATTATCGAGTATTATTGTTGATTAAAACTGAAACATGAACCATTATTCATTGCTTTTGTTTATTGCGTTTGTTACAGCAACTTTTTAGAAATATTCTACGACCCTATATATCAATAATTGAGAACAAAGATTTAAGCACGAATACTAATAAGGAGAAAATGAAGGCTTGGAGCGATATTACAGAGAAGTAAACATTTTAATAAGTACCTGTATCTCAAAAAAATGATTACATTATTTAATCAAAACATGTAATTTTTCAGATTTAATCTAGCAAATATAAGGACAAGAGACAAAAAACAATTGATGAATCAGTGGAAGTGCACTAAATTGAATAAAAAAAAGAGTTGTCATCTTATCGCCGTGAAACATCAAAAACTAGAGGTGGAACAAAGCCACCATCACCTTCTCCAGACACAATGGATATGGCAGAGATTATACCGCAACGGTTTGAAGTAGATTTCAATGAATTTGATTGTGATGGTGTCGAGGTAGGAATGTTAATTATAAATATGATGGTGATGTTCAAGGTTCAACCTCTCAAGCATAGGCACATACTTTATTCCCCTACAGGGTAGTTAGAGATATTGTAATACCTCAAAACATCCATGTTGCTCTTGTAGTACCGAAACTCTGTCCAGCCAGATGTGAGCCCATTCCCACTTATAATGGACAGTGGGTATAATACACCTTAATACCTGAGTGCGAACCACTCACCATGATACTTAAATTAATAGATGTTATTTATATATTTCAGGATATTACAAATAAAATCATTTTGGAAACAATTGCTATCCCAAAAGCAAATAAAGCCAACAATGACAAGGTAATAAATCAGTTTTGACATAACTTGAATACTAAAAATGCCAAACAAAGGTGTGCACAACAGTGACAACATAACTTAAGAATTTCATTATTTTGTAGGATTAAAAAAAGGTTAAAGAAAATCATGTCGAACTGAACAACAAGAATCCCCAAACAACTCAAAAGAAACCTACAAGGAAGACACCGGTATTATATTTAAATTATCTCTATCTCTAAATAGAATAAAAGAAAGTTGCTATCCAGGTCTGTAGCATGTGCTACAAATTATATTATTAACACATTTATATAATTATATTAATATAAATGTGTTAAAAATTTTATAATATGAATTATAAAAAATTTTAAGTTTTGCATGGACAGAGCTTAAATTAATATTCTCTTATTTGTTGCAGAAGCAAGTAGTAGTTTTAGTTTTGGAGAAGCCTCGTAGATGCACAACCAAGTAATGATTAATTTAAAATTACAAACCGAAATTCTGATGAAGACATTAGAGTCACTTAAAAATAAATAGTATAATGAAATAAAAATGTTTTAAAGATAAATAGTGCTTTATTTGTTTAAATAACTTAATTGTTAAAACAACCTAAATTAAGAACTATCAAACTAAGTTTTCATCAATAAAAATGGCTCTTACTGCTGCTCCATGCAGTTTATTTTGAGATGAGGGTACTGTTAGTGTGGGCAGGGTCTCTTCATCATCATCAGAGATAGGTTCCTCTTTTAATTCAATGGCTATATTGTGCAATACTGACAATAAACACCTAAATCTGTTTTTCCAAACACCAAAACATCTCTCTACGCTATTGCGAGTTCTGATGTGGCATAATTGTATGATTCTTCTTTATGATTTTTTATTTTGTAAGAGAATAATTATAAATATTTATTTATTAAATTTTTCAAATGTAAACTGAACTTTATTGACTATAATGACTCCTTTTCCAGGCTTTGATTATTTAATTGTAATTAATTATTTGCATGCAATCAAAATCTATTTCTAATAATGCCAAAGAAGTATAACTTCTTACGCGCGTACATAAGTACACGCACCCTTTTTTTTTATTTTGCTATATTGCTTATTTTGCTTTTGTTTACTGCTCTACACGTGCTATGGCTATGTATTGGGCCCTGGTGGTTTTAGTGGGTATGGGGACCATCGCATTTTACGACCTTGATCCCCACACTCCCCGCGCCAATCACACTTGCCCAGGCGCGGGGGCCCGTAATCGGGTTTCCCCAGGTGAAAAAAAAAAAAACGCGTTTTTTTGACGCGTTTCCGGAGCAAAACTCACTTGGAGGTGTTCCAATGAAGGTCCTCCGAGACTCCTAAATAATTAGTATCGTCAAAAAAGTGCGATGGTATTCAAAACCGTTACCATTGTTTATGAGCTTCTATTAATATCACCCAGTATTCCTCAATTGTTTTTATTCTAGATTGTAAGTAGCCCACTTTAGCCAGTCGTTCTTTGGGGCATTTTGATAGGTTGATCTGAGTTTTCTTCAATAATAGGGCTGTATTTTCGAGTATATTAATTGCTTGTTCAGTTTCCGTGGCCATATTTTACACGTCACAGTCGAAAATATTCACACAAAAACTTTTAAATATTGACGCGTCGGCGCGAATAAAACTAATTGTCTTTAAAAATTGCACAAAACTTCAACCCGGCACTCGCTTATCGCTTTGGAATGCAGTTCTATTGTTCTCGCGGTAACCGGTCCTCGATGCAATGTTGTATTTCTATTCGGCTCGAAGTCGACCATATGGTAAGGTCGTAAGTTCTAGTTTATATCGTGCCGGCGGATCGTTTAGAAAAACACGTCTTTACTTCACAAATGTATATTGGCAACTAAATTAATAAATTTCATCGTAAGAATAATTGAGACTACATATTTTTAGATTTAAAATTGCAAAATAGAATCACCAGTGCGAAAAGTGGTAAAGCTGTTCAAAAGATCGCCTACTAAATACGATATGTACCTGCAAAAGTATGTGAAAGAACATACAGGTAAAGAATTAAGTCTTATTTTGGATTGCCGCACACGTTGGAATAGTCTTCTATCTATGATGGAAAGATTTTATAAGCTGAAAGAGTGTATTGATAAAGCTTTGATAGATGTAGAATCTGAAATTAAATTTAGTGATATTGAATGGTCAAAAATAAAAGACTTGATTGACAGTTTGCAGCCATTTAAATTGGCTGTAGAGGCCTTGTGCAGAAGAGATTCGACCCTGTTAACTGCAGAAACAACATTAAAATTTGTTTCAGAGAAGTTGCTCACTCATGACACAGTGTTAAGTAATGAATTATATGAAGCACTGCATACAAGAATTAAAGAACGCCGCACTATAGTAACAGGAATATTGATATACTTACAGAATCCAAAGAAATATCTTGAAAAAGTAAACCGATCTGATTATACATTTACTATGCCAAAGAAAAAAGTCATACGATCAGAAATGACAAAAATCTTAGAAAGAGTTATTCAAGAAGATACATCTGAAGAAATAGTAGAAGAGAACTTAGATTCACCATCACTAAAGAAAGATTTGACATTACAGGAAGAATTACAATTACAAATCCAGCAAGAAGCCACGTGTTATAGCGTACATCCTAAAAAAGAGAAAGATTTTGATAAAGTACTAAAAAAAGAAATGACGACATTTGAAAGCGATGGAGTCCGAGGAGAATACTTGTCTGCTATTCATGATTATTTGCTGACAATAAAGCCGACAAGTGTAGAAGCTGAAAGGGCCTTTTCGGCCGCAGGCTATATTTGCAGCTCTATTAGAAGTCGTTTAGCTGATGATTTTTCACAATTAACAATATTTGTTTCACAATTAACAATATTTGTTTTCTACGATCTTATTTTCAAAATCAATATTGATTTTCTTTTAATACTTATATTTTTTTACAATTATAACTTAAAATAATTATTTATCGTAAGTTGATTAAACTAAAGAGTTCTAAACTCATTATTGTGATAATTTTTGCCATTCATTCGTTCGACAGATTCATCAAATCATGATGGTATCTGTCATAATCATAAATACCTATAAGACTTGTTTGTTTTGTTAGCATTCTCAAATACTTTAATAATGATTTTGATCTCATTTCAGTTAATTACGTAAGGTTAATTGTATCTATTAGATATTATAGTTACTTGATAATTAATATTGTTACTTATAAATTGATCTATCTGTAAAAGTGAAATCTAGAAAGACTGACTCAGACTACTCGTTACGTCGTAAAATTATTACTAATTACCTACACTACTAAATTTGAATTGTTTTCTTGTTGTCTATTTGTCTTAACATTGATTAGGAAATAAAGTCGATTTTATATATATGTGATTTATTTTTTATAAACTACTTACATATAAGTGCAGTGACACTTGATTTACTCACTTATTTTGTACTAAAAAGCGAAAATCATCTTGATTTAATCAATCCGGTCGGATCCCGCCGGATTGATGGGAATCTCTTAGAGTTTTCTCCTCTTGAAGAGCATTACAGTGTAGATGAGGCCATGATCCCCTACTATGGTAGACATGGCTGCAAACAGCACATAAAAGGTAAACCTATTAGGTACGGGTTCAAAGCTTGGGTTGGTGCTACACGGTTAGGGTATGTTTTATGGATGGAACCATACCAAGGTGCTACAACTACGAGTATGTGCAATCCAATATATAAAGAATTGGGGCTGGGTGCAAGCGTTGTTCTCACTTTTTGCGATGTGCTGATTTCACGTGGCTTCGACCTTCCTTACCACGTAGTTTTTGATAATTTTTTTACTGGGACGCCCTTGCTGGAAGAGATAACAAAGAAAGGCCTTCGTTGCACTGGGACAGTTCGAGAAAACAGGACATCTAGTTGTCCTCTGATTACATCGAAGTTACTGAAAAAAAAAGGAACGTGGTGCTGTCGATTACAGAACGACACATGACAACACGTTCATTATTGCTAAATGGCATGACAATAATATATTCAGTATTGCTTCTAATGCTGTAGGAATAAATCCTAAACAATCTGCCAAACGCTTCTCACAAAGTGAAAAGAGAAACATTGTCATAGAAGAACCACATATGGTGTCCATCTATAACAAATATATGGGAGGAGTGGATCGGTCTGATGAAAATATTTCACATTACCGAATTGGTATACGAGGTAAGAAATGGTACATGCCGTTGCTCACACACATGATCGTTCTTGCCGAACATAATGCATGGCAGTTATATAACATAAATCATGGAAAACTGGATCATCTTGGCTTTCGCAGAAGGGTAACAATTGCTTTGATTGAATCAAACAGAAAAAATGCCAAAAGAGGGTCTAGCCGACCCTCCCATCATGAACATGCTGATAGTCGTAAAGACCAAATGAATCATCTGGTTATTCCTCAATCGAAGCAAACACACTGTCGTCAATGTCACAAAAAATGTTTGACACGTTGCAAGAAATGTGATGTTGGAGTGTGTGTCAAGTGTTTTGAAACATATCATTCATAAATAGTGTTAATCTAGTAAATTACATATAACAATGGGTAATATAAAATCAATAGTTATCTAATAAACTACACTTTTTGATTACATTCTGTTTTGTCATAAATGGTCTTTTATTTCCTCTTATTATCCTACTGTCCTACATATAGGACGGCTGTTTCCCTGAAAGCCTTACACTTAATTTTTTTTTTATAAGTTTCTTTATGTTGCATAAGATCTAATAAACTAAATAATGTAACTTTTTTCAAAATTTTCAGAAAATTTTAGTTTCAGGCTTATCTGGGTTAAGTCCAAAAAACTTGTTTCGAGATAATGAGGGTTAAAGTTTTGAAACATATAAATTGCCATAACTTTAGCATGTCATGACATATTTTAATGTTTTTAGTTTCATTTTGAAGGAAATCAAATTAAGTTAAAATGATGTTAGCTACCCAAAGTGATGATTAAGTTATTACTGAGAAAACCTAAAAAAAAAACAATTAGTTATTTGTTCTCTGTAGAATATCCGATGTAGTTATGAATTAGTTAATATTCGCCCCTAGTTAGTGATTTTTCACTCAGATCGAGTTTATTTTTATGATAAATAACTTGAGTTGGGTAATTTACGACTAACTGGTAGATATACAAAATATACATAATGAAAAAAAACTTATGAGTTAAAAGTCATTTTGTTTTATAATAGTATAAAATCTAACTACTTTTATATAAAAAAAATCTTCTACACTTCCTATGGATTAAAAATGTTAACATAAAAGTAACTAAATCTTTTATTTTTATAAGCTATGTAAGTTTTTGATAAATAAAAAAATAGTTAACATGATTAAGTTATTTCTCTTATTTTCTATTAGGACCAAAGAATAGATTTATTTAATTTTCACTTTTTGTAAATCGGAAACTAGGATACCTATAAAATTGACGGTTAGACAGTTAAATAGGGGAAAAAAATATAGTTTTATTGGCATTGTTAACTCGATTTGGCCATTTTTCGACTAAGGGCTGATTTCACCAGTGTCGTAGTTATCCGAGAATAGCTATACTAAGGATAAACATATTCGCTTGAATTTAATCCCAGATAACTCACTTTACATTTCACCATGTAAAACATCCGATAAACTAGTCTCAGATTAGCTATTCTTTGGAATAGCCGTTTTGCTTATCTGTGGAAGTGTATATTGAGTGAACGAACAAATGAGTGTATAATGAAAACAAATTAAATGTGCAATTTCTTTAAAGAACATGAAGGTTAAATGGAACTATTTACTTTAGTTGGATTATACGTCAGTTTGAAGCTGTCATGGAACCTACTTTGTAATCTGTGGTCAGGTCATAGAAGCTTTGTTTTGCCTGAGTGTTTATTTTGGTTTTGATTTGAAAGAAGAAAATAAATAACAGAAACAATATCGTTCATGATAATGACCGATAGAAAAAGAAGTCCTAACTGGCAAATGCCAGAGAAGATGTTACTGGTAGATCTGATAACTGACCATTTTAAGATAGTGGAAAACAAGCGTACCGACGCAGTAACCATGAAAGAAAAAATGCTGAGTGGATTAAAATATCCAATGAATTCAATTCGCAAACCAGTTTCAGCCACAGAACCGCGGAAAATTTAAAGGCACAATGGGAAAGCTTAAAAAAATTCTGCTGCTGCAAGGCAGTACATGATTCAAACAGGTAAAATCATTTTATCATTTTACATGCTTATTTTCGCAGCTAAAAGCATCTTCATGATAAACCTATGGTGGTACTGTGACATTCTTAACTATATTTGATTTTTTGTTTAGGTGGGGGACCTGCAAAGCCTAAATCTGACGACCCGTTATTTACCCGGATCTTGGGTCTTATTTCAACAGTTGCTGTTGGACTCGAAAATCCATATGATTGCGATAATTTTATATTAAAAGAAAATGTAACATTGGCTACAGTTAAAATTCCAGATGTATCAGGCATATTTGTGCCGAACACCACTGTGACCAAGTCAACGCCTCTTGACTTGGATATTGATGCTGCAAATTTTACCTGCGATAATGATAAATCACAAGGTGACTGTGCTGCTGATTGGGGAGACTACACCCCAAAGATGCTGCAATCTCAGAAATCTGCTCCTCTGCGTGCACAGTCAGTTCTGCCTGTGGTTCAGCCAGCTAAATCGACGCCTCTTGCCTTGGATATGGATATTGATGACTGTGCTTTAATATCTGTAGAGGATGCTGGAAATACCCCTCTCACTCAAAAGAAAAATTGGAGCAGCAGACGCAGACCTACTTTACCGGTTTCTTCAACTTTAGAAGAGTTACATAAAATTAAAATAAAAGCTGTACAAATGCAAATGAATTTTGCTGCTGAGGAGAGAGAGGAAGGAAAAAAAATATTTGAAGTTGAAATAAAAATTAAAAATGAAATATTAAAACGGGAGAAAATCAAAACACGAAATCTTTTTGCACAAATGAAACATCGAAGAATAAATAGAAAACCAACCTAAAATAGGTTATCTCATTAGATATGTTATATTACAGACTTAACTTTAATAAAATTGTAGTTAATAAAACAAATATAAATGAAAAAGTTGTTTCTTTATTGTTTAGTTTTATCTTAAAATAATAAACTACATAAGATTTCTAAAGTAGTTATTTATCAGTAACTCTCTAGCTCTATTTCCTCGAGGAGTTCCTGAGTCCTCATTTTCATATCTTATTTGCCCATTTTGTAAGAGCACCTCCCAAGGTGCTGGAAGCTCCAACTCTGGATCATCAGGCGGGACTGCTTCTCCTCGTTGACGCAATATATTATGTAGAACAGCAGTTGCCATAATTATAACCAAGGCCTTGTTTAACTTCACTCGTAGCCCTAAAGATAGTGCTGGAAATCTTCTTTTCCAAACACCATAAGACCTCTCTACAGGATTTCTTGTTCTTATTTGCGACTCGTTGTAAAGTTGCTCCACTGGTGTTCTGGGATTTTCTAGTGGAGGCATAGAATAGAATGTGGCTGCATATCCACCATCAACAAGCAAAATTCCTTCACCATATTCACCAGCTTCAAATTTTGCTTTACGGCAACAATTGTTGAAAATAAGGCTGTCATGTGCTGATCCAGGCCATCTTGCAACAATGTCTATAATCTCCAAATTTGCATTGCATATGGTCTGGACATTAATAGAAAAGTAACCTTTACGGTTTCTAAACAGTTCTGCCTGTTCGCCTCCGGGTGAAGAAATACGAATATGTGTGCAGTCCATTGCTCCAATTACTCTAGGAAATCGTGCTAAACGATAAAATTCCTGTTGATTTTGTCGAATCTCCTGTTGCGTGTTTGGAAATTTTATGTATTCATGGTGAAGTGATGCTATGGCAGCACTAACTCTATGTATTATTCTGTGCGCTGTGGGTACGCTGAGCCCACTGAAATCACCTATCGTCAGTTGTGTATTATTTGTGGCATAAAATCTTAAGGTGGCTAAAAGCTGGTTGACTGGAGAAACTGATTGATTCCTGTAAACAAAAAAAAAAGGCTTAATTAGCTACATAAACACAGATAAATCCATAGCAATACCTTAAAAATAGATAGTTAGGTTTGGAACCTATCAAATATTTGATGCAAATTGTTGTTTATTTTACAGAAACTTACCTCTCAGATATGAATTCTAAACGGTTTTCAATTTTCACCAATAAATTATATGTTGCGACCTTGGATAACCGAAATCTTATCCTGAAGTCTTCATCGTCGTAGTTGTTGAAATGATCATTTCTTTCTTTTATCCATCTTGGACGCCTTACAGCATAGTTTTCGTTTTCGCTATCATCATCACTGTCACTTTCGTAAATAATTCTTCTTAAACGTTGCATTATCTATAGTTGTGATAATTAGATCAAGGAAAGAAAACAGGAACAACTCTGAGGGAACAACCACAACAAACTCGGGATCAAACAAAATGTCTGTGTTCTATGAATCCTGACAGCTGACATGACATGGCGGCCATTTTTAACCAAGGAATATCTCCGTATTCGTTCAAAATTGGGCGTATAAATCTTATCCTTGGAATAACGTTTTATTCTCAGGTTAAGTAGTTGGTGAAATGTAAAATTTGCTATTCCAGGGTTAATTCCTTGGAATAAAACTTATCTGAGTTTGGTGAAATTAGCCCTTAATGAGTTTTCGCTCTACGGGGACGATTATTATTAATTGATTGACACTATTTGACACCGATCAGCTGACGTAGGTATCTATGTAATGAATGATTTGTATACGTATAGAATTCACTTACAAACATTTATAATTATGTAGGTAATTAAGAAATAGATGAGTATAGAATAGGTATTAATAGGTATTAAAAAAGTTAGAGTTAATAGGTATTAAAAAATTTTGCCTTATTGGTTTTTTATCACTTATCACCATAGGTATCCGTGCCCTTGATATGTATGTACATTAAGTATATCCTTTCCGTAACACGAATATAATCTGTACCTATACCTAGGTAATTTATTCAAATGCGAAGCTAGTTTAGGTATAGTTTAGGTTTTCTAGTACATATTTTTATAGATATCATGCTATGCTCATAGTTTTAAATTCTAATAGGTATCTATTATTACTATTATTAACACATGTTTTAATATTTTATTTCAGTCAGCATCTGAAAACCGCAGTGGCAACTTCATGACAGCTACAGTTGATTGGATTGTAAAAAAATATCTTCCTTTCTCATTTTTCGATGATGAAGATACACAGGAATATTTTCGATCGATTTGCCCGAGTACGATATTTCCTAAAAGGTCGACACTAAGAAGGAAAGTCAAAGAGCGATTTGAAGAACTACAATCGAATGTTAAAAATCGACTACAACAATATTCATGTAAAATGTCATTTACCATTGATGGATGGACGTCCATTGCTGGTAGGAGTTACTACGGGGTCACTATTCATTGTATAGACAATGAATGGAAGTATCGATCTGTAGTCCTTGATTTTATACCATCGCGCGGTCGACATACTGAGTTAGATATTGCAACGATTTTCCACGAATGTTTATTGGAATATGGCATAATTGATAAAATACAGGGTATCACGGTGGACAACGCAACTGCAAATACCAAATTTATGTGTGAACTTGGCAAACAACTGCTGCATTTTGATTCAGACAATCAACATTTCCGGTGCTTTGCTCACATTTTGAACCTTGGTGTACAAGATTTACTAAAGACCTTAGCATTACACAGTGAAACTGACAATAAAGAATTGCTGACTCACGTACAGGTATTACAAAATTACGCAGTATTTCCAGTAAAATAAAAAGAAGCGAGATATTGAAGAGGAAGTTCCAGTCTGCTTGTGAAGCAGTTGGCGGGCCATCAAATCTCAATCTTATACTCGACTGTCCAACAAGATGGAATTCCACACATGATATGATTGGATTTGGTTTAAAAGTGAGACCTGGCATTAACATATTATGCGTTTCAGTTACCGAATTGAATGATTTTCAAATCACAGAAACTGAATGGCAAATACTCGAAAAAATACATAAGTTTTTAATAAACTTTAAACTTTTATCAACGAAACTTGGTGGAGAAAAATATGTTACATTACCGCTAGTCATTGTATCATTCAATCTATTGCTTGATAAAATTGAATCCATGGTAAAACAATTAGATGAGAAACCTAATCGAACTGAAGTGGATGAAAGGCTCATTTTAGGTTTCCAAGCAGCCCGAGATAAAATGCTTAAACATTATAAGAAGAGCAACTGGATTTACTGTACAACTTTAATTTTAGACCCAAGGCACAAAGCTCAGACTTTTGATATTACATTATGGGGGCAGCAAATTAAAACAGAAAGCCTGCACAAATTTAATGAACTTTATAAAGAATATAAAAGTCTACACGTACAGCAACACTCGGTGTCTAAATCTCCAGAATTACCAAGAAATGAAAACAAAGTATGTGAGGATGAAGAATATGAAGATGTAATAGACTTCGAGAAACTGTATGCATGTCCCTCTACGTCGTCATCTGGATCTTGTCTTCAAGGCTTAGTTACTGACGAGTTGGAGGAGTATCTAAGTAAACCGAGAGCCGCCAGCTCAGACGATATTTTAGAGTGGTGGAGGACGCATGAGACGGAATATCCGATTTTATCCAAGATGGCTCGTGATTTTCTTTCGATATCTGCAACTTCAGTACCTGCTGAGAGATTATTTTCTAAAGCATCGTTAGTAATTAGAAAACATAGAAATAGATTAAGTGATGAATCACCCAGGTGGTTACTTTGTATTTATTCTTGGTCAAAAGAATTAATATAAAGTAACCAATTTTTTTAAATTCTAAAACAACCATATTCATATTTAGCTTTAGCCACACAACAAAAACCTCTCGGGGTTTATATCTGCATGTTGGCGAGCCGTTCATATCATTTCTTTACCAATTTATAGGTAGATACAATAATACATAGGTATTTACATTAGGAGAATTTTTGTGTAAGGAAACGCTTTGATTTGTACTTATAACTTTTCGAACTCGTTTTGTATAACGTTTGCAAGTCTACTGGAAGTTAATTATGTCAATGCTATTGTGTACTGTACTGCATTTTTTTTATTTAAATAAATGTTAAATTGCATAGATTGTCTTTATTCTACAACTCTTCTATTCCATTCCATTAAACAAATTAATTATTATTAGTTAGTAAATCATCAATATTCTTTAGTAAATAATTAAATAAATTTACATTTAAATAGATTTACTAAATAAATAAAACTAATCTAAACTAACGTGTTCAATAAATAACAATAGGCTAATAGGTATTTGCAAGTCTTGCGAGACTTGCGAGACTCTTGCTGCAAGATCAAGACCAAGACTGAGGGCGCAATACCAATACCAAGACCAGGTGTATTGACGCAAGACCAATACCAAGACTGGCCTAAGTCTCGTCTTGGTCTTGCATTTGGGCAACACTATATAGCACTATTAATTAATATTTACTATATGTGTTATTAGTCTGTTTTACTCCTAGAGTGTAATTTAACCTTCAAGCGGGCGCGCGTAGTCGAATCGACCGCGCTAAGTACATTTTCGTTCATATTGTTATTATTACCCATCACGTTTATTTCTCATTTGTAGTAGCCTGTCGCTATGTCATTGGGAGTAAAATAAAGAATAAACCGTTACTCGGGACGCTCCCCCCACTCCATAGATCGCAATTGTTTTCGTCCCAGAGCAGTCGTCGAAAAGACTACACGCGCCTGTCGTCGAAAAGGTTACGCGCGACGCTCAACGACACATACCCTCGTTCACGCTCGTAGTAGTTTTTTGGCCATCATTCAATAATATCGAATTAAGCTTGGATTTTTTTATATAAAATGATTCAGACGGTTACCACAAAGTGCAATACTCGAGGAATTACTAAGAGAAGACGAAGAAGAAAGTGAATCAGAGCTCGGCGACCAAGGCTCTGAAACTTCCGACCACATCGTTGCAGAGGAACCTCGATCTGCTGAGGAATCAAACCGCTCGGACTCAGAAGAGGATGATTTGCCAATTACAGAAATAAGTAGCTATTTTACAAGGCGCGATAAAGTAACGAAGTAGCAAAAATCTAACTAATGGTGTCGGGGTGAAAACATTTACGCAAGCCTGGAGTTTATTCATTTCAGAGAATATTATTAAAAAAGTTGTTACATTTACCAACGAAAAAAAAAAGCACCATCGTATAGCAGAATACGTGACTGCAAACCAACAGATGTGGTGGAAATTCGAGCACTTTTCGAATTGTTGTAGTGGGATCCTTGAAGACATCACACGTCAATTTAGAAGATTTCATATTTTTCCTACTACTATGTCAGTGAAAAGAATATAATTTCTACTGTATTCATTGCGGTTTGATGATGCTACTACGCGACAAGCTCGTCGTACTCTCGACAAAGCTGCGCGAATATGAGAAATTTTAGATATGTTTCCGCAAAACTGTCTATTGCCATATTCAGTGGGAGAGAAAGTTGTAATTGATGAGATGATGATTGGCATTCGAGTAAAATGACCTTTCCGATAGTACTTGAAATATTTGTTTCTTTTTCATACGTTTTTTGACAAATCAGACTTTAAAGACAATGATAATATATATGAGTACAAATAAATAAATAAATATTGAGTAATAAGTGCTTTCTTTCTCTTATTCATCCCATAGGTCTTTTCGGTTACGCGCGCCCGCTCCCGTTACTAATGACCGCGCGCCCGCTTGAAGGTTAAAAACCAGAGCTGTCCAATAACCATATTATTATCACATCTACAAAATTTATTTAACTCATTAAGCTTATTAACTAATTCTTTAATTGTTGTAGGACGACATATTGAGGGCTATTGGGTCCTTGGTATGATCGAAGACAAATCTGAAGATCTGAGATTGGAAGTGTGTCCAGATAACATTCGATCAGCTGATGTATTACTTCCTCTTATTCAAAAACATGTTGAAGTTGGTACTACCATTCATACTGACTTTTGGAAAGCATATGATTGTCTGGCAGACCATGGGTGCAAACATCAAAAAGTGAATCATTCAGATCCTGAAAACCCGTTTGTGGCTGAAGATGGAACCCATACTCAAAGAATTGAGTCACAGTGGAAGGCAGTAAAAAGATTTTTTAAAAAAGGATAATTATAATAACACTGAAAATTTTTCAGATCATGTCAAAAAAGTGCGGTGGTATTTAACACTGTTACCTCATTTACTGCTGCTGAAGTGGGTAGAGGCCTACTACTGGCTATTACCACGACCCGGCTCTACATGCACTATGGATTGGGCCCTGGTGGTTTTAGTGGGTATGGGGTCATCGCATTTTACGACCTTGACCCCCACACTCTCCGCGCCATTCACACACTTGCCCAGGCGTGGGGGCCCGTAAGTAGGTTTCCCCAGGTAAAAAAAAAATTAATTATTGTTTCCGGCGCGCAAAATTTGTCATTACTACAACCCCTCCCCCCCTCCTCACCCCCAATTCGGGCGACCGATTTCTAAATCTTTACCAGGGCGTCAAACTTCCAAACGCGCTTTAGTGTCAACCTTTGGTCTGGGGTCCTAAACGGAGAGTTAATTGGACCCTTTGAATTACCAGCTAGGTTGAATGGCCAGGAATATTTAAATTTTTTGCAAAACAATCTTTGTGAATTGTTAGATGTTAATCTTCATATTCGACGAAAATTATTTTTCAACAAGATGGCGCGCCCTGTCACTATGTATGCAATACAAGTAAGAGAGCATTTGAATACCACTCTTCCAGAAAGATGGATTTGGCGTGCAGGGCCGATCGAATGGCCTGCGCGTTCGCCAGATCTCAACCCCATCGACTTTTTTGTTTAGGGATTTTTCAAAGAGCTGTTTACGCGAAGGAAAACCACAATGAAACAGAATTGAGACAAAAAATATCAGAAGCGGAAAGAAAAATAAAACAAGATTATTCGAATAGCTTCAAGCAATTAAAACGTTGTCGGTTTGTATTCAAGTTGGAGGAAGGAGTTTTGAAAATTTCTTATAATAAATAGTATTTTTTTAGTAAATTGTGCGTTTTTTTTTTGGTTATTAAAAAACAGGTAAGTTCACACTAGCAATAATCATTTCGAATAACATGTTAAATTTTGAGTGTAAGAATTACACGAGCTACATTTATTTTACGGGTATTAAAATTAATTTAAAATCATATCTTAAAGTTTAAATTACCATAAGAATAATAAAAGTAGATTTTTTTTTAAAATGCTTCAATGATTTTTAGCCTATCCACCTTAAAAGGCCGATTAAAATAAAAAAAGACCAATTAAGTACCATTTTTTTCTATGATTTTGGTAGCTTAGAACCCTGCGGAGTTTTTAAACTTAGCCAGAAGCTATGGAAACTTCTGTTTGTATTTTTAAATTGAAGTCGAATGTTTGAGCAAATCCAGCTAAAAACTAAACTTCTAACTTAAAACCTGTTTTGAGTAGCTTTGAATAATTTTAGGAAGCTGAGATATTTGTTTTTATTTGAACAACATTTAATACAATCATTTCACAGAAAAAATAACTGCAAAATACCTATAACAATAAAAGATATGAATTTTTGAAACCTCGCTGGCAGAAAACATTCAAAAAACACAAAAAGAATTATAACTCGAAAACTATAAAAAATCGCGAAACATACATGGGGTATTTTCGTACACCCCCAGGTGTGAGGAATCTAAAAAAAATTCATTGACGTCACTAGTTGGACCGCCCTGTATAGTATTATATTTATATACCTACACTCTTAGCACCTTCTTGTGCTAATAGCATTCACTGTGGGATTCACATTTACTTATGTGAAAATTATATGCAAGACCTCAATGAAGAAAATTCAGTACGAAATTAATTTGAAATTAAATATAAATGGCAGACATACAAGAATGCTCAATGTGCTGTAGGCAGTGGAATGGAAGCTCACTGCAAAAATGTGGCAGAAGTGATGTTCGCTGTCGAACAAAATATGTACAAAGAAAGTTTGTTCTCTTAAATATTATTTGTACAAAGGTTGCAAACATTTAATGTACCAAAAAAGACATTTACTGCCTCTCCACTTAAAGCTGAGAGGTTACCCTCAAAAAAAAAGGCTATCTAACATTATATTTCATCCCTACAATATGGAGAACATTTGTGAGGAGGCATACAATGCAAAAGTAAGAAATGTATAAATTTCTGCGACAACCAGCATCATGCCACTCAAGCAAAAGAAAATATTTTTCAAATAGAAGAAATGACGAGAGGCCAGAGAAATAATAAATTGTGGCTTGAAACAAGGAAAAACCGCATTAGAGTCAGTAATTTCCATATGCCATCTTTCTAGCATCACCAGATCGAATATGAAACCATAGTTGAGGTGAAGTGTCCCTATGCATGTAGGAATAATTTTATAATTGAATCGACTGTGCCTTGTTTATGTATAAATAGCACACATGGAGAATTAGAATTAAAAAAGACTTGTGTCTATTATTACCAAAATTCTTAGGGTGGGATTCGAAGAGAATTTATGGGACCTGTTATTACCTATTTCTTCACATCCAAAAGCCACACTCCGACCCATTTAATAAGAAAACGTAAAAAAATCGCAGTTTTATGATTTAATATGAAGTTTGACAGTAATCTTCCCAATTCAAAGTTTCAGAGAGAAAGAGGCGGAAAGATTGTAAGTACATTTTGCGACAAGTAATTTTTTTATTATTTTGACTTCTCACGAATTGGCTTGTTTAGTTATCATTCAGTTCCTGTTACTCTTTCGTTGGTATACAGATTAAATGTTTTTTTTAGT